TTATTATATGTATGTATGTATATATATATATATATATATATATATATAGATAGTTCATATAGAAATTATAATTCTGAAATGTTTACATTAAGGCTTTTGAGTACTCAGCTAAGAACTCCGCGTTGACGGTAGTGATGTACTGTCGCGGTGAAAAATAAAATAAAATAAAAGTTCATTCATCCTTATTCATTTTATCCTTGTTCTTGTTCATTTTTATATAAGTGACGTGCGGGCAATGAAATTTTTTATCACAACTATTTTCTTAAAGCTTGGTTCTCTCGCGGCGCGATATGGGTTGTGTGACGTCAGAGGCGAGAAATAACATATAAAAAGTTTCTTACGTCGTATAGCTTTATATTTTTTTCCTTAAAAATATGATATTTTCATATTCTTAAAACTTATAAAAAATACCAGAAAGTAAGATATCTGTCCAATAAATCACGTAAAAGTATAAAATAACAAGTATAAGTATAAAAAGTATAAAATAAATCTTGAAATAATGGTACACTTAGCTTAGCTAGAAATTATCAGATCACTAGATTTAGTCATAATTCAATATGACTGCAGAGAGATAACCGAGCGTTAATCGTGCAGATGTGATTTGTTTCGAGGAAGTCCCAATTGCGCACAGAATAAATCGGACACAGCAGGTTGAATGGATCGGACACAGGTCCAAACGGATACAATAAGGAACGGATACAAGGTAGTTGAAATCGGACACAATAACAATCGGACAAAGTGACAACCGGACACAGTAACAATCAGACACAGTAGGAAATGGACACACAGTAGCTGCAATCGGACACAGTAACAATTAGACACAGTGACAATCAACACAGTAACAATTGGACACAGTGACAATCGGACACAGTGACAATCGGACACAGTGACAATCGGACACAGTGCCAATCGGACACAGTGCCAATCGGACACAGTGCCAATCGGACACAGTAGGAAATGGACACACAGATAGTTAAATAGATAAATAGATAAAAGAATCTGGCAAAAAACACAGCAATCTGCTTCGCGAATCGAGATATTAAGTGTTAAAGTTGATGACTTTTTGGATAAGAAATCTGTCATAGCGACATAATGCAGCAAACTGAACATGCATTGTCACTCTGTACGCGTGATAGGAAGGGTTCGAAGGGCGAAGCTCGCTGGTGGGAGGATTAGGGGGGGGGCGACCTGTCCGATTGGAACTGTGTCCTATTGTCACTGTGTCCGATTGCAGCTACCATGTGTTCATTTCTTACTGGACCTGTGTCCGATCCATTCAATCTGCTGTGTCCGATTTATTCTGTGCGCAACTGGGACTCACTCTTTGTTTCGTGCTTACCAGATTTGTAAAAATGGGCGACAGCTAAAATTATCTTTGGACATTACATGTAAAAGCATTTTTTCCACTTCTTTCAACAGATCAAATCGTGTATTTTCTGCTTGAACAGGCTTCATTTCACGTGCTTTTTACAGCTATTTATTGATTATCAGGAAGAGAAAGAATAATAGCCGTCCATTTTCACAAGTATCTTAAAGCCATATTAGGTGTTATTTTAATCAAATATCTCTTTATTTTTATTTTTGCAGAATTAGTGCAATAAACTTTATTGTATTATTTCTCGCCTATGACGTCATGATTTCCAATATGGTCACAGTGAATACTTAGGATCCTTAAATCGGAATTCTTGATATTTATTGTGTAAAATCTGATCGTTTACCGAGTTTCAATCGTTCCCTAGGAAATTCCCACTTCTTATCATACGGAAGTAATTCCGCTTGATCATCAACTGTCAACTCTGGATTTAAACATTCTAAAGCGCCTTCTTCAAAATGCATAAGTCCCGCTTCCATCAATTCCTTCCTCATTTTCTGTATGACAATTTAATTTTAGTTAATTAATTAAATTGAATTCTTTATAAGATACTGTTTTATAGTATAATATCGCACTCGAATTATGTTTTATATACATATATTTCTATAGAAATTGATTATGGAATATACAATTTACCTTTTCACGACGAACTTTAATTGTAAAAAAGATCGCTAAGATCACTACGATAAAACATAAAATAGCTATTGAAGTAACTAATATTATATCCATTTTCTGCCCTGTAAAAACTTTTAAGTTGTTAATCTGCTTTTAATATTATTTAATATTATTTAATATTAACAAACATTATATATTTATTTATAAAGCTTACATTTCGTACTTTTTACCATTATCTGTTGAAAAGTTTCGTTGGTGCCTAATCGGCTAATAGCACGACATAAATATTTTCCGCTATCATGTTGCTTCAAATATTTAATATGGAGTTCTTGATAATTAAATTTAAACAGGTACTGGTCATTTTCCTTTAGCAATATGTTATCCTGAAAATTATTAAAATATAAAATATAAAATATAAACATAGTATCGCATTTTAATAGCCATTTTGTTAAATGAGAATAACTATAAATGTATATGTACCTTGTACCACAAAATTGTTGGTTTTGGCATTCCATTTGCAAAACATTGCAAAATTACTGTTTTGTGACCTTCGGCGATTATATCGATAGTTTTTACGTTAGTTTTATTCAAATTAGTTTTAATAAAAAACGGTGGTATCGGATCTATATAACATTAAACATATAAAAATCTAGTGAGAATATATTTTGTCATTGTAAACAGATCTCGATTAAGAATAATAATTACAATAGATAGATAAATGATAGATAATTTTATAATCATCATTTTTTTATAAAAAATTAATTAAAATATTTTTAAATAAATTGATTATACCGTGAACAATTAATTTGTACTGTGTGTAATCATCTTGCAAAAAACCTGCATCTTCATTAGTTGATTCACCCACATTTATAAATTTTCCATTACAAAAGTAATTTTGAGCATCTGATTCTTGAATATTACTAAGCTTTATTGTTGATCGATAAGTGAACGGAGTTCTATGTTGTATGATCTGTAATCTTTCTGAAAATAATAATAATAATAATAATAATTAGTACACATCTACATTAATAACAATTAATATATGTCTATATTAAATCACTTCTTAACTTATTCTTATTATTTCATGTATTTATTATTTATTTATTTAAGTTTTAGTCAGCTTAAAATATGATTAAAGACTTGATATACATGAATGTCTCTATTCATTCACTTTTATTTTCTCATTAGTTTATGCTATTTCTTTTTCTTTCTCTCTCGCTTTTATTTCAGTTGTTTGATTTTCCTTATCCACAATAACCCCCGCCCCTTTTTCTTATTTTGTTAAAAATCATTCGTTACATTTTTTTCCCTCTATTTCGTTTTTATTACATTCTATCATATGTGTGTGCTTCAACGTATCTTTATTGCATATTCTATATTTCTTTTCTGTTTTCCAATTAGTATTTGTCAACTAACACTTCTTTCTTCGTTTTCATAATTCTCTCTTTTCATCATTCTCTCACTATCATTTTTTTGATAATTTCCATTTATCTTTTCTTTTTTTAAAGAGTTTTCTTACCTATAAATTGCCTATATATATAATAAAAATATAATAAAAATAAATTTGCTTATATCTTGCGTTGTATTTTATATATTTTATTTCTTTTATTCATTTCCTATTATTCTTGTTTTTTGCTTCTATTTTTTGTTTCTATTTTTTTTATTACTTTATTTAATAATCTTTCTTCATCTTTTAATTAGCTAAATCTTTTTAAATTCATTCTTAATTTCTAAAATAATTAATTTTCTTATTCTATATCCTTCTATATCCTTAATTAGAATAGTAATTTTTTCTTCCGCGGTCGCTGCCTCGTCGGGCATGCGAGGATGCGGAGAAAAAAAAAGGGGCTTCAAAGCAAGGCGAGTACAAAGGGTTTAGCGCCTGCGCCAAGTACCGTTGCGTCGCTAAAGGCCGGAGCGCGACGATTTTCCTTTTTTTATCATCTCTAACTAGCAATTGCTTGCTTATTCTAGCTTTCTGTGAACCTGATAACTTTTTTTCAACATGATTATTTTCAATCTTTTTCTACTTATTTCTCTTAATATTAAATATCCTAAAGTGCAAATTAGTGCAATCTAAATCAAGAGTCTATCTAATATATCTTATTTTGCATGGCTTTCCATATTTTTGACTCTTCCCAACTTCAGACCTTTGTCCTATATTTTAAAATTGGTAAAATAAATATATCTAATAACCATAAAAGTCTTCTAAAAAAGTCATCCTTAAAGTTACTTTTCGTTATTTCTCATATTTTTTCCATTATTAAAATTGTTTTTTTTTATTATTTTTATTTATTTGATTCTATTTCCTGAAAATATATTCTAAATATATCATTTTATTTCTTTTATTTTTTTTTATTTTCTTCTTTTCTTCATATTTCTTGCTTTCTCCTTTTTTTCTTTTAAATATCATTATTTCCTATTTTTCTATATTTCAACGTAACAATATTTTACGTTTTATGTAGTTTTCATCAACTTTTTTATAAGCGTCTTAAAGGGATTCTAAACTGATGAGCGAACTCCGACGAAAACGTTCACACATGCATATCTTTTGGATAAGGCTACGCGATGTAATCGCTATTCTAGAGCAAAGAAAAGTTTAGACATAATCAAGGACTTTAACATCGGCAACAAAACAAAGATAACAGATCATGGGCTAACGAAAGAAGGTGACCACAGGTATTAGACAAGGTGACAGCCTGAGCCCCATGCTTTTCAACTTGGTCATGGACGAAATTATCCGAAGCGTCAGTGAAATAGACGGATATAGAAGGGAAAACCACACGCTGAGGATATTGTGCTACGCGGACGACGCCGCACTCTTGGCAGAAACGGAGAATGACCTACAGCGATTCCTATATAAATTTAAGACGACAGCAGAGAAATTCAACATGATCATGTTAATTGGAAAAACCGCGATGGTGATCGTTAAAGATTTGATGCGATGCAAGTAGTAACTGGTGATAACATTATCTAACAGGTCATGAAGTTCAACTACCTAAGAATAGAAACGGCAAGTGACAGGAATATTACTGAAGAAGTGCGAACACAAGCTATTAAAGCAGCAAGGATATCCGGCTACCTCAGGGACATTATATGGCGAAACCAGCATATAAGCGCGCGAAGCAAGATTAGAATCTATAAGACCTGTGTAAGACCGATCCTCACTTATATAGCTGAAACAAGAGCAGAAACATCAAAAACCAAAAGAATAATGAGAGCAACAAAGATTAAAATACTGAGGACCATCAAAGTGTAACTCTTAGGAAGTAGATAAGAAGCGAGATAATAAGAAAGGAACTTGAAATCTAGGATGTAGTGAAATGGACAAAAGCACGCCAATGGAGAGACCATATCGACAGAATGGCCCAGAGAGAATAAACAAAATGGGCAAAGACACACAGACCAAGCACAACTCGGCCATCAGGCAGACCACCTAAACACTGAGAGTTGGACGTCAGGCTCACAAAAGGTGTGACAGAGACAGAAAAAACAGGACAATAGTTCTACCATATGAAGAAGAAGAAAAAAACATATACATCTAAACATACATAAATACATTTATGTATACATACATACACTCATAAATACATTTCTGTATTTATGAGCTTTCACATGACACACATATGAACAAATTTTCAGGCACGCTAACTCCTTTATATCACATTTTCAAATCTAATTGTAAAAACTCTACATGTTCCTGCATGTAATTCGCACTTCCTATCGGTCTCATTTTGTACAAATAAGCTGCCAAATTTTTACATGAAGCAAATATTCGTACATGTTGACAGCTCTTGATTCCATATTGGACTAAGAGTCGGTAAAAAAGATCGAAATTTCTTAATTTTTTTTCGTTCTCGGTATAAAGTCGATCGGTATGATTTACATTGGTGTGTATGCTTTGTAGAAAGCATATGCAGCTTTGTATATGTAGAAAAGGATTCTTAAATCTGTAAATGTAATTAGAATATTTTAATTAACATGTTGGAAAATTAATCGGCTTGGTTGATAAAACAGGATCTCTTTAAGAGCCCTTTAAGATTTTCGTTCTTCATTATTAAAAATATGTCAGCGTATACGAAATGGAATATATTTATTTACCCGACTCTCACATGTTTTATTATTCTTGTTGCTAATTTGTTCTTCAAATCTGCTATTAAGGGGATGCTAAAGCGAAGGACGAACTCCGACGGCCTTCCACAAATGCCATCTAAATGGAATTAAAGAAATGTCGGTAACGATCGACAATTTAAAAAGTCGATATTATCGATATGACTAATTCCGTTTATTGTCATATTAATTTTTATCATTTTACTAAATAAATGAAAACACATGTATATATTGTATACATTATATATATTGTATTGTAAGATTGCTCACAGGAATCGGGATGGGCGGCGGGATTCAATAAATCAGGTCACTTGTTTAATTTAAATTTGACACAAGAGAGCGTTTATTCAATTCGAAAGTTTTCTGTACAATGTTCCGTTAGCGGAATTACACTGATTCTAACGCGTACACCGCGCCACGTGTAACGACCATTTGAATATGCAAACGATATGGAAAAACGGATGAATACTGAAGTGCGCGATTTACCAAGTCTTTTCTACTAGTTTAATTTAATTAATTCGGCTAATTTGAGCCGGTTCTCACTAACTATACTTGTTACTTTTCAATTAAATTGTTTCTCTAATCTCACTATGACTCCCACCAACGCGTGTCAGACGTGTCCTTCCCGATGGAGAGTGTCACGTTGCTCCAATTCGCCGAGGATCGGAGCATGGATCGAAAGATCTAGAATAATCCCGAAACTTTTCGAGCCGGCTTCGTTTCCGATTCGCGAGCGCCGAATTGCTCCAATTAATTAATTGCCTCACGAGATGCGCTGACACCCGCTGGGTGCGTAAATTGGGAGCTGGCGCCATCGGTCTACCAATCAACCAATTTCAGCGCAATATCTTATAGTTTCGGCCAGTCTGATAGCCCTTCGTCCTCGAAAGGTTTGTTTAGTGATTATTATTCTTAAACATTAAGATCACAGGTAGATCAACTTTATTATTACAGTTTCTATTGTTTCTTCGCTCGCGTTAGGTCTAGAGACTTAATATTATCTTAACCTTACGCTTTTACTTATCTATCACAAAAACATCACATAGGTTCATGTTATTATGTTTAACTTTGTTAGCCAAATAATTGACTATTTACCAGATAATACAGTTTTTCTTAACTAGCTATCTCACTCTCAGGACGTGACATTTTGATCCAATGCTTTAGCTGTCGGAGGAAAGGATTATATTCATCGGACGAGATGTTAAATTATAATCAGGTATGTCCTTCACTACATACCGATTATTTCTTAAGCTTTTGTCTACCATATATGGCTCCTTGTATTTCGCGGATAATTTAGTATTTTCACCCGATTTTCTTCGAGTATCTCTCACTAGTACGTAATCACTGGCGTTATAAACAGTTGATTTGCGTAGTTTCGAGTCTCTATATATTTTATTATATTGCCTGATTAGATCCGTAGCGGTTTTGGCTGTCTCGCGCGTCCTTTCTCTCTTCGCGCCGGGATCGTTTTCAATCTTTATTAAATCTTGCGTAAATTGAGCCAATGAATTATCAGAGTGATTTAACTGTTCGTACCCGAAAACTATTTTAGACAGCGAGAGGATTTTATATGTCGCGTAATATGTATTATTAATTATGTATTGGAGCTCCGACAATCTTTCCTTCCACTCTGATGCGTGTTTCAGCAATTTTGTTAAAGAGCTTTTTATAAATCTGTTAACACGTTCTACCGTTCCGTTCGCCCACGGAGAAGCTACTGCCATTTTTCTGTGTCTTATTTCGAAACTATGAGAAAGTCCAAGAATTCTGTCGACGTGAACACCGTTCCTCGATCTGATACGAGTTCTCTCAGTTTTCCAAACGTTAAATATATTTTTTAGATGAAACATTACCTCTCTCGTCGTGATAGACTTTACCGGATGTAACCACGTAAAGCGCACGAAAATGCATCTACGACCACTAACATGTATTTAAATTGACGTTTGTGGGGACCGAAATGGTTGACATGGAGAATTTCCATCATTTTACTTGGCGACGGGAAGATGCTAGTCTCTCTCTCGAACCAATTCATCGCGTCGTTTGACATTATACAAGTAAGACAATTTTCTAAATAATCGTTTATTCTCTTCCGCATATTGAGAAACCAAAAATTTTAATCGATACCACGAAACGTTTTTTCTATTCCACAATGAGCCATCTCATTGTGATGGGCCCTCAATAAACTCGGTACCATCATTTCAGGCACTACGAATTTTAATTCCTCTCCGTTCCTCCGATAAACCAAGCCATATATCAACGCAAACTTAATACTATCCTTAAATTCTAATTCTTCGCATATGTTTTTTATTTTAGGATCAGTGAGCTGACGAAATTCTAATTCTTTTTCCAGGGGTAGCTCGTTCACGAACCCGACGCAGTGGCTCAACGCATCAACGTGTTGCTTCCGGGTTCCTGAACGATGTAGGAGTTTAAAATCATAATTTTGCAACGTGAGCGTCCACCTGACTATACGCGGATTAAGATTCGCTTTGTTGACCGTGTATACTAATACGTTACAATCTGTGACTACTGTAAAAGTCAGACCGCTCAAATACAAATGAAATCTTTCCACAGCTCGCACTATCGCCAGCATTTCTAATTCAAAACTGTGATAATTTTTTTCCAATTGATTGGTCGACTGACTGTAATATGTTACGACCACTTTTGATTCTGCTGCTTCTGTAGCAGAATCGCGTCTATCCCCTGACTACAAGCGTCAATGTGGAGTTCGATCTCTGCCGATGGATTATATAATGCCAGAATTGGTGAAGAAGTTAGTTCCGATTTGAGCTGTTCAAAAGCTTGTTGGCAATGTTCGTCAAAACTAAATTCGGTATCTTTCTTTAACAGATTTTGTAACGGTCGAGCTTTCAAAGCGAAATCTTTTATAAATTTATGAAAGTAGCTCACTAATCCTAAAAATTTTTGAGTCTCATGCACGTTTCTCGGTTGCCGAAAATTCTTAATTGCCTCAGTATGCCTGGGGCTCAATGTGATACCGCTTGAAGCAACATATCCTAAAAATTCAATTTCTTTCCATAAAAATAAATACTTTGAATAATTTAATTCGAAACGGTATTTTCTGAGTAGAGTCAGAGGTTCTGCCAATATTTTTAAATTTTGTTCCACTGACTCAGAACGTCATCCATATATATGATGATCTTATCATCACGTTGCAAGGTCTAGTATTTGAATAAGTCGTTTTTGAAACTCGGCTGGAGCTTTCGAAAATCCGAATGGTAAGCGCGTGTATTCGAATTGCCCGTCGGGCGTCGCAAACGAGAAATACTTTGTACTATCTTCATCGACTTTTATCTGGTGAAAGCTATCTTTTAAGTCAAGTAAAGTAAATATGGATTTACCGTTTAATCGCGACAAACAATCCTCTATGACCAGAAATGGATATTTTTGCTTCAACACGCAACTATTTAGTGATCTCAGGTTCACGCATAGCCTGATTTGACCGCTTTCGTACTGGAATGACTCGCGCGCAGTATGGCGACACACTCTTTTTTATTATTCCTTTATTCAGCAAATCGTTTGTTATTTCTCTAATGTTTATTCGTTTCGCATATCCGAAGCGCCGCGGGGCGTACGCGTATACTGAATCGTCCTTGAGACGTATTGTAACGTACTTGCATTGAATAGCTGTCCTCAACCAGAGCAATATCTTTGCCTTCCAATTCTAAAATCATTTGCAATAATTTATGTTGACAATTTAAATCAAAATCTATTCGCGCTTCTAGAATTATTTGTTCTAGAGTCTTCGGAGATTCTTCGTCACAAAGTGGGAGATGAGAAAACAATTTTGCGCACCCATCCGGACCGCTATTCTCCGGTTCATGGGGCTTATAAATCAGAGTAAGTTTCTCCTTTTTATGAAATCTCTATCAAGAATAAGGGCTCCTTCGAACGAACTATCTTTAATAATATATTAGGTGTACAAAAAAGTTCTGAGCTTTTTTTTGTAAAATTTAATCTTTATTCAAAAACAAACAAAAAAATATTAATCAGCGAAATATTCCCCGTTTGCAACAACGACCTTTTGCCATCTTTCGGGTAGCTTGCGAATTCCTTGACGATAGAAGCTCATCGGCTTCGAAGCGATAAAGTCATCAATGCATTTTCGTATCTCTTCAAATCTCACGA